TGACATACCTGACCAGTGAGCTTGTCCGTAACCTCTCGATATAAGTGCATGTCCAAGTAATAGCCAGACTCATTGGATAAAGTCAGACGAATTGGAATAGTCTTGCTCTGAGGAGTTTGACGAATGGTCATCTTGATCTCTGCTTGAAGCACACGCAGAGTCCACAGGCGACGACCATAGCGGTTCACAATGGATCTTATGGAGTCTTCAATCTAAGCAGAGAGTGGAGCACAAGATTAAAACAAAACTTTCCTTTAATTATTATTACTATATTCATTACCAGTTTTTGTAAGCTCCCCTAAATGATAGAATAATTATGTACCAAACATAAACATACATAACCAATAATACAAAATATAAAATCAAGTAATAACACCTCTTGAGTGAAGTCTCTTGTCTCTTCCTTTTATCATACCTTGCTCTTTAAGTCTTTCCTTCCTTCTCTACCTGATTCCCTTCCCTTCCTTCTCTTCTCTGCTTCATTCCTTCTATCCTTATCATCACAACCTCCTCTATTCTCATCCCTTCTTTCCTCCTGATATCTGGGGCATACTTGTTTCCCTTCCTCTCTCTCCCCCAGTCTCTACCCACACCTTTATTTCCTTCCTTTCCCATTCCAACCCTCACCTTTGAAGGGTTCATGATGACCGTTGGCACAAAGTTGAGGAACACATGATTGCAGTCAGTCCTCTTTGCCAGCTGGTGCGAGAATGCCACCTCCAGCTCATCCATGGCCTCAAGGAGCAGCTTCTCTCCCTCCTTCTCCAAGTATTCAAAGGATGCCTCCTTGGTGATCAAGTCTGAGTGGCGGATGATTGAGCGGATGAAGAAGCGGAAATCAGTAACCTCTTGCCCATCTGCCACCTGTCAGGGAGGAAGAAGAAAAAAAATACTTGATGGACAACAATCTCTTTTTGAAATGACAAATGAAAATCATGCAGCCTGGACTATGGAATTAATGTCAAAGAGGTAGACATCTGTATACACTTTTGAATATCCTGCAAATAAAATGAAGAAATAAATCCTACATTCATTCCATCATTACCAATAAAAGATCTGCTGAAAGGAACTTTATATATACAAAAAATAGAACCCATTAGTGCTGGGTACAAATAGCTACTGTCTACATGTTTGGTTTCATAATCAACTAGTCACCAAGGACTTTACTAAAACTACATGATCTCACTTGTTTACTACATAACTTGAATTTCAGGTAAAAAAGGTTTAATCAAATTCACTATTTCTATCATTAAAAATGTTATTGGTATTATCATTGCTATGATAGCCTTATTCACAATAATCACAGTAGCTCCTAAAAATAAAACATTTCTTTGGATAATTCAAGAAATGGGATAAGCTGATGAAATCTGGTAGGCCTTATAGCTGACTTCTTGATGACAAAGGTCTTTTGAAGCCATCCACATAAAAAAAAAAAAAATAATGATAATAAATAAATAATAATAATAGCAACAATAACAATAACAAAAACGATAGCAGAACAAAGTAGATGGTAAATGTATTAATAACTCACCTTTGCTTTAGCCAGATACAAATGCATTTTGCGATTTGATGTAGGCAGTGCTTCCAGATCATATGTACGGAGACGGTTAATTTCCAGCTGGAAGGCCAGAGCAGGCTCCAAGTGACGGTAGATCCTGTCTTCTTGGAATTCATCTCTCGACCTGATGGTTGCAAAGTTTTGTGAGCATTCTTCCCTTCAGGCAGGAACAATAACTGAGAAAAGAGTCTTCGAACTACAGAGTTATAACACGTGATACTCATATCTACCGGTAGTGAAAGTACTTGGGCTTTTTCATATCAGTTTGAAATAAAAATATAAAAAAAAAAGGCAGGGGTAATAAAATGGTGATTACTGATGTCTGGATGTTACTGCACTAGATTTCAATTACAAAGGAAAATAGCATCAACATTAGCTAACACCATTAACCCCTACAATCCGGATGATGTAACCATCACGTCATGAAAAAAAATGGTTTGAGGGACAGGTGACATGAACATGCTGTCCTGGGAAAATTGGTTTTTGGCCAGAGTGACTCAAACTTACTGTCATAAGCATTTTGGCTAAAAGCCAGGGTAATGGGAAAGACTTGCCACATCTGCACAAAACTCTTGGAGGGTGATTAGACTAATGTGGCATGAAGGAAGGGGCTTTCAAATGCTCAAAATTAGGGCCACATGATGGCAGTGAAGCATCCGGATCCAAAGGGTTAAGATGTTACTAGAGTATTATGATGTAACACATTAATGCTTAAATAAGATAATTACTTCTTCAGCAATGTAAGGTAATAGTCAGTCTTCACTTCTAAAATAATGTCATGTTAATATTAGTGAAAATTTATCTTTAAATGGTGCAAAAGATTAGTGGTAAGTGTTGGGAAAACTAATTTCCCAGTGCAGACACACATGCCCAACATCTTGCAACATGTTTTAATAATACAGAATAAATAAGTGAATGGCAATAACTTGCATGACCCAAAAACATAGTGCCAATTCACAATAATGTTATATCATTCCCAATTTCACACAGTGCAATACATAAGACACACATGAAAACCCCCAAATATCCTTGAGAATGTTAGTACACTGGACAATTAAACTATCCTATCTAGCATAGTCCTATTTGCACACCTTGGATAAATGAAACACTCATCAAATAACATTCCCCACCAACCTTACTGTACATCCAAACCCTAATTATCAATAACCTTCTTCACAAACCAACAATATTTAGTTAACCAGACTTCTGAAACTGAACAGTACAATACTCATTTTCTTTAGATAAAAACAATTAAAGCAAAGAGACTGACTACATTTATCTAATATTCCTAACTTACCTGGGCAGCAATGAATAGACTAATGTTATGAAAATACAATATACTATAATTTCTGATATATGCCAATATATGTAGCAAATACAAATTCTATACACAATGCCTCCTAGGATCATCTGGAGCACTGATTTACAATCAATAAGCACCTATCTACTGCCACTTGAAAATTAAAAAACAAAATATTGATGAATACCCATAATTTTACATTATCAGTAAGCAGATTGAGATTAAAA